AAGGTGGCTCAGTGGTAGAGCGCTTGCCTTGCATGCATGAGGCCCTGGGCTCGATTCCTCAGCACCACAAAGCAAAAAGAAAAAAGCCAGAAGTGGCTCTGTGGCTCAAGTGGTAGAGTGCTAGCCTTGAGTTGAATTGCTGAGGGACAGCACCCAGGCCCAGAGTTCAGGTCCCATGACCGGACCACCCCCCAAAAAAAAGCATGGCAAATTGGTGGAGTGCCAGACTTTAGCACAAAAAACAAGCAAGAGCTCCAGACCCTGAGTTCAAGGCTTACTGCTGGCATAGAATTGAGCACAAAGAATAAAAAATTTAAATGGTAGGTCAATATGATCAAGGAGAGAGTTGATTTAAAACATGGTAAGCTTAATTTGGGTGACAAAAGATATATATAAAGTTTAGACTGGATGAGACTGAGTTGATGAAAGAGGAAATGTGTTATCCAATATTTTATTGCTTTCACCCTGCTTCTGTTGCCCTTAACACACATACCCATTCCAATACCCAGCCCTGTGTCACTATTTCTGGATAAGAAAAAGGAGAAGATATTTTGTCTTAACAACTTTGTTGATTGTTTGGTTTGGATTTCTTGTTTGTTTGGTAGGTTGGTGGTACCAGGGTTTGAACTCAGGGCCTTGCAGTTACTTGACAAGAGCTCACTTCCTAATTTATAAAGGACATTTTTGAAGGCTGGTAAATCACACAAATAGGTCTCAACAGAACTCACAGCCCAAAGCCTACTATCCTGCTCCCTAGAACCATGCTGGGGTCAGACAGTTCTATACAAGGGCTGGGAGATAGTTAAGATCTTTTCTATCTTCTAACCTGAAGATCCCATTCATGAAAGATCATTGACTATGCAGGTTCAGAGTCCAGATTCTGCAGGTAGAAAACAAACAATCCAATTCTAGCTCTACCCACTCCATATCAGAGAAAACTTGAGTGCATTATTTTAAACTTAAGTCACCACATTTCTAACATATGAATAACTGAAGTCTCTCTCATAGGATGCTTAATGAAGATTAAATGAGACCATCCACGTAACGCATTTAGAACTGGGCCTGGCATGTATCAGGGGCTGGATTACTGTGAGTTATTGAGATTATTATTATATTGCCTCTGAAATGCTTCTGACCCTTTAGCAGCATCTTGAGCATTTCCAGGCATAGCAACAAGGCAGCAAAATCCCAGACAGGATAAAGGTGAATGTGGAGGGTGGTGAAGTGAAAGAGGGTGGAAAGGAAGTTAGCAGCACAGCAATTGTTTGTAAGATGTCATTGTATGAGGTTACAAGGCTCATGTCTGAATTACAACAGTGATGCTCCACTCAAGTCCAGGGATTCTGACCCTCTGTGAGGACAGTTAGCAATTCCTGAACACATGTTTGGTTGTCATAACTATGGATTTTTCTCAACTGTCATCTAATGAATGCCAGGGTTGTTGCTAACCAGCCTAAAATGTACACGATGTCCTTCACAATAACTACATTTTTTAGTGTTATTATAGAGGTGATGTACAGAGGGGTTTTAGTTCCATGAGGTCGTGAGTACAAATTTTTTTAACTATGTCTCCCCTATCCTTGCTCTCTCCCAGTTTTTCCTTCCATCCTCACCCATAAGATCTACAGTTCATTTCCACAGTGTCTAGTGAGTAGCACTTCTGTATTGGTTCACCCTATGTACCACTCTGAGACATGATAAATTATATAGGTCTCTAGACATTCAGACACTGAATCCAAAGGAGGATATTCATAGGAGTGGATCACAAAGGCTCAATAGCTATGTACAGATGATCATATAAAATAATATTTTATGAAAGGAACTCCAAGAAAAGGAAACAAGAGACCTTTTTTTAGTTGCTGTTATCGTCTTCTTTTCCATTTATCTTGTTCATTAGTTTGTCTTTGGGAGGGTATGGAGAGCACATAAAATGGGGAACAAAGGGTGAACAAATACCATGGAGATTTATGTTAATAAGGGGTCTGGAGCTTCTTGGGAGATGAGGATGGGTGATCGTTAAACTTTCTCTGACTCCTGGTTCTTAACGGTGCTTCTCACTTCTCCCCTTTAGCTGTCTTTTTCCTAAAGACAAACTGAATTAAAAATGGTTAACATGTAGAACTGTATGGCAAGTTTCTTACTAAAACAAAACCAGTAATAACTGAATAACTGAAATTTGAGAGCTAAGAGAATCCTTAGAAATGATGTAGCAATTAGTCTAGTTGACAAGCCTCACCATCTTTCACAAGTGAACAAACTGACACTTAGAAAGGCAAAGAAACTTCTTTTAGGTCATAAAATGCTGTAATCAGCAAAGGTCCAGCAGTGGAGATCCCTTTTTCTTCCAAAGACCATTTGAGTTTTGTGATACCATTTGTGGGTCAAATAGAATTATCACTACAGGCACACAACCGCAGGAAGCAGATAGCAAGCATACGTATCTGTTCTGCCACATACCAAATGATTTCTCAGGCCTTTTATACCCTGTGCATTGGTTGATCCCTACTCCTGTTTTGTTGTTTTGTTTTTTTTTTAAACAAAGAACTGATTTAACTTAGTCTGACCAGGATAATATCAAGCATCTCTTCTCTGTACATTTGCCATGAATTATGTCCATGACAACAGCTTGTCTGCTCTCATCTCTGGAATTCCCTGATTATAAGTCTCACCTGATAAACTGGAAGCAGTAGCAATAAAAACAGAAAATAAAATAGAGCTGAGAAGTATTGAGGGCAAAACTGATCAAATCTGCCTATTGGATTAAATTATGGCATCTACTGATCAAGGAAGAGAATGCATAAAAGGTTTGTTTCCAGCCTGAGACTCTTGGAAAATGGTATGTTCAACAGCATGAAAAACATCAGGAAGCAGGTTAGGGTAGCAGGCTCTTTATGAAGATGCTGGTGTTCTTTAGTCTGCAAATTGGGGAAGGAAAATAAGGGATGAGGGAAGTCCAAGAATATGAGGGTAGAAGAAACTACATTTGGGGACTTGAAGTGTGACTCAAGTGGTATAGCAAGGTATGGGGTCCCCAGTTCAAACCTGGATACCCAATCCCACTCTACCCCTTGCACAAGTGCACTTGATTTGTTGCCTACGAGAATACTGTAAGGCCCTAGGAGAAACTGCACTAGAAATACAATTCAGATAACTTGGTAGGACCAAACACACTATTTTCTTGTGGCCTTGAGACCAGAATTCTGGACTCTGGATCCTGGAGTCTCCATCTGTTCAACATAGACTGGGTTAAAACATTCCCTGAGGCTCTGGCTAGCTTCAACTTACTATAGCTCTGCTAGAGTTTAAATAATGATGATCACTCCGCTGCATAGTAATAATTATCATAATAAAGATATTTCCCAGAGGAGGAAGTGATACAAACAGGAGTGAGAAATGAGAGTAAGAATGCATAAGAACAACAAACAGAAGAGTAGAAAATGACTTGGGGAATGCTGCAAAACCTCTTCGCTTTGGGTTCATTTTTTTCTCTCTCTCCATACCCTTAAGTGTTTCCTAGAGGGGAGCAGTTGCCCAGAGCTCAGCTGGTCTTTTCTGCTTCTTCCTTCTTTTCTAGGGCACCGCATCCATCACCAGTGTCTTTCACTTCACCTACTGTGCTCATCAGCAGCACACAGCAAATGTTCCTCCCTCAGCCCCTGGTGCTGAAGTTTCGGGGCACCAGGCAAGCAGCAACTCCTACAATCCAGGGTCATCCATAGCTTTGGACCCAGCAGGCAAGAGCACAGAGGACAAAGTTGCATGGGCGGCCTTCCATCAAAGCCGACGTTGATTCATAACGTCCCTCCATCAAAAGCCACCTCCGATTCACAACAAACCTATACCTTAAGAAACATCCTTTCTTTGGTCCATTTTTATGGACCAAATAGAAAATCAGTAACACGGTTTCTCCTAGCCTTGAACCCTACCGAAGGCGTTGGAGCCTTGCCTTCTTCCTCCTCTGCCAGCCAGCATTGCCTGGGTCAACAGCTACTTCTTCCAAAGGCTGCTAGCACAGAACCACACACAGGGCGCACGCCAAGGCGCAAAGCATCTCCAGTTGGGATTAGGATTCAGTGAAAGTCAACTGCAGGATGGTGGCCGGAGGAGCTGGCAATGACCGCAACAGCTTAATGCAGCAAGCCATCGTACCTACACACCCAGCCCCTTACACATGCCGCCAGCGACACGCATCGTGTCACACACATCACAGAGAGTGCACTCTGGGCTACACAGCCAGCACTACCCTAGAGCCCACACACGCCTCTGCTCACACACACACACACACACACACACACACGGCCTTTCTCACTCACACTCTTTACACACGCATCCTCACACCGTGATCACACAATGCAGTTCCACAAGTACTCACCTACACGCGTGTGCACAGGGTACCTGCTGGAAGCCCCCCTCGGTGGTGGTCCACGCCGGACACGCGTCCGTCCCGCACACCGACAACGAACCGCCGCCCAGCGCATCCCTGCGGGCGCCGCCTGGCTCCGAACCCCGCGTCCCCCGAAGCCCCCCAGCCCCGCGGCGCC